CCGTATAGCCTGATCCACAAATGCATCTCATAATACCACTGAGGTCATACGTCCCGATCAATAATAGTACTGTTGAGGCGTTCCACCTAATCCCATAAGAATAGTAAAACTTTTAACGGATCACAAACATATTTCACGAATATATGTGTGAGTTATGAACTCAAGAAACTTTCGGACAAATACGTATAACGCGAAAGAAATCCGTATAAGAAAATATAATTTTTGCGGCTAATCTAGTAGCGCGTCAAGATTCTAGAATAGCAAAGTATGATAGTCTACGCATGTCTAATCTCAGGAAAAAACATGAATTAAAACATTTAAATAGGCAAGAATAACTCAAGTAGTGAAATTAAAGTATGGTGTGAGTGTAAGTTTACCCAGACATAATCAAGAATCTAGCATACGAATGAACGCTCGTCACATCATACATGCGCAGCTCCCATAACATGTAGCATGTAGCAAGTATAGCACCTACGGGGTTAAATTCCCTCTTACAAAGTTAGACCTCACTCTAAAATTTGATAACCGGCTCCAACGCCTTTCTAACACCTCGAACCAATACCAAACGATCTGAAACTAGTCAAAGAATGTGCAAACTAATTAAAATATACTCAAACACTCATAAACAATTAGAAATAATTCTCGACCCCACACAAAAGGTCAACAAAGTCAACTCTCGGGCACACGTGCCCATATTCTAAAAATTCTCGAAGATAAATATTATCCATAACACTACAAACTCAAATATATAACTTATTCTAAAATTTTATGCCAAATTTTGTGGTCAAAACTCAGAAATACCATTTCTATATTTTTTTTCCAAAATTCCACTATTTTTACCAATTTTATGTTTAAATACATACATAAACCATGTATTTAGCTCACAATGAATATGAATCACTTACCTTGTTATAGATGATGAAAATGACCTTCCAAAATCGGCTCCAAAATAGAGAAATGAGATGAAATGAGCAAATTTCCGATTTGTTAACTTATACACTGCCCAGTCTCCCCTCTTTGCGATCGCGGAGGCAGCCTCGTGATCGGGAAGGCCAAACCAGCCTCGCCCAGAAATCCTTCTTCGCGAATACGAGGTCCCACTCGCGATCGCGACCATTATCCTTGTATCGTCCATGGTGTGGACCAAAAACCTTGAATTTAGTTAAGAAGTAGCAAGAAATCATTCTCACCTATAACCAACCCACAACCTTGTTGGATGCACCATTTTAAACCAAAAAGGTAGTGCTTTCGCTTCATAAAATTTAATGGATCTCTGCCTGAAGGTATAGCACATGCCGTAATCATCATATCAGCACTATCCCTGACCACAACACCACCTCCACGGATTTCATTAATAGAACTGCTATCAGTATTTATCTTAATAAAGAATAATGGAGGACTAAGCCATTTAACTATAGTGAAGGTATTTTCAAATAGGAAAATATCAAGGAGTTCAAAAATTTCCTCCCATTTACAACCAATAACTAGCTTCCTAAAATGAGAATTAGCAATATGGACAATATTGAAGGTAATGAAAAAAATAGATCTATTGATTAATGGCCTCTCTATTTCTTACCTACTGAAGCACCTTGATCTCCACAACTCCCACACAATAACAGGAGGAAGAATTTTACAAACAAAAGAAGCTACAGAGTTACCGGCTCTATGGTTCAAGCTATTAGAGAAAAGGTTCCTCAAAGAGGAGTTTCTATGGGGAATTCCTACCATTCCAGCAATGTTTTCCCACAATTATTGTGCAAACTGCCATTGACAAAATAAGTATTCACAATTTTCCACGTCTGGGCTCATATTTGGTGGTGGGCAGCAGTTACATTTAAAAGGTAAATTGTAGCCAAATCTGGTGACTCTATCATCTATTGACAACCTTCCATGTACAACTCTCCGGGCCATGAAAGACATCTTGAAGGAAATACCTTTATGCCATAATTTGGAGTGAAAGAGAGCAAAATCCTTTCTTCGCCTCAAAGAATTCTAGGTAGAAGCCACCAAAAAAAATTTAGAAGTAGATATTGTCCACATTGGATCATAATCCTCTTCCTGATTGATTGTAATCTTCATAGATGCTACAAGGTTCTTCACAACTACTGGAGGATGAACTTGCAATAGAGATCAGTCCAATTGCTCATTATTATACACTTCATTAACTCTTATATTATCATAGCCCACACCTTTCACTAGACTACTGCACAGAGAACCAAAATTAGTCCAATTATTATACTAGAAACTGAAATTTCCTCTCCCAATTCTTCATAAAATATTTTGTTCCACTTCATACTTTAGTTTGTATATAGCCTACCAATTATGGGACTAGCAAGTTGACCACTATCTAAACAGGGGATGATATGTACTGCAATACTTTGCTCTCTAACAAATTGAGACCACAATGAATTTATGGTCCTTAGTATCCACCATTATTTAGAAATAAAAGCTTTACATAGGTTCTCTAATCTCCTGAAGTTAGATCCTCCCTCATCATATGATAGGCACATCTTAGACCAAGCAGTTCAATGGTATCTGTCACTATTCTTTTGGCCCGACCAAAAAAACCAATAATTCCCGATTGTAACAATAGAGCCTTTGGTTGGATGAACTACATCTAGTGTATGTATGTTGAGGGCTAGTAATACATGCCTAAATGTACTGCCCTGCCTCCAGTAGATAAGAACTTTGGATGCCACCCTCTTATTTTGCTATGGATTCCTTCTTTCTACCAGAGTAGATAAGGCATCCAAGATATTTGATTAACAGTGGTCCATGCCTCATTCCTGTAATTCTCATTATCCTAGTGATAGATCTTTGTGTTGCTGATGGATCCAGAGAAAAACTGCATTTATCCTTATTGATTTGTTGCCCCAAAATATGCTCATAAATGAATAAAGAACCAAGGACCTACAGAAGGGTAGCCTTCCACCATTACAAAACAAGATAGAGTCATCAGCAAAGGCTAGATGATTCACCTGCGGACCTAGGTTGTTCATGCAGAATCCTCTATAGCTTCATTTTCTGAAAATCATTGAATAATTGGGATAACAGTTTAGCACTCAAGACAAAGAGAGAGAGGGAAAGAGTATCTCCATGTCTTTGTCCCCTCCCAAATTTAAAAAATCCCATGCATACAACCATTAACAATAAGAGTGTACCAATTATAAGATATATATCTTTGAATAATCTCAATCCATCTCTTAGAGAAACCTAGTTTTCGAAGCATACATCATAGATATATAGATGCATAAAACCTTATCGTATGTTTTAGCCATGTCCAATTTCAATATTACATTGCCCCCTCCATCTGTTTTCCAATATCATTCACTATTTCCTAAGCCAGCGGAATATTTTTGTAAGGCCCCGTAAAAGTTTTTCCGAAAAATCCGGATTCCGTGTTGCCAAAGTAGGCGTAAAGGTTAATAGTAGTAGAAATTCTTCGTGGTGAGCTTGCTCGTCACGGTTCAGACTTTTTGGATTGAAAAGTGCGCTGGGAGTTAAAGGAAAATGTTGGGCAGAAGTATGCATTTTTGCGGCCTATTTTGCGGCCGCAGAACCACTCTGCGGACCGCAGACTGGTCGCAGAGAGGGACAGATTTCTAGGGCATTTTTGATGCCCAATTTTGCGGCCATTATGCGACCGCATAACCGTTTCACGGGCCGCATTCTTGTCACATATCCCACCTTGGGATTTTTCGGAGGGAGGTTCTACGGTGCATTATGCGACCGCGGAACAGGTCTGCGGATCGCATAGTGACCGTAGACCAGGTCAGTTTCTTTCCAGCTCTGGCACCCATTTTCGCAGTCATTTCGCGGACCGCATAACCACTATGAGGTCGCATATGCGACGACAAAACCTGTTCCGGAGCTTCATTTTTGGGGTTTTTAAACCCAACCCAATTTCATTAAAACACACCCCATAGACCATTTTGAGCACATTTGTGATATTTTAGAGTGAGAGGAAGAGTTCTTAGAGTGGGGGAGCAATATTTAACCATTACCCATCAATTCTTGCTCAATTNATTGCATGCATGTATCCTTGAAGTATGTGAAAAGGTTGTTAGCTAAAAGTGGTAGAGAGTGGGTTGGGAAATGATGGAATCTTCCATAAAAGAGGCTTATGACCTTAATGCACACCTAGTGTTTGATAAAATACTCAAATGAGCTAAAACTATGATCTTCTTCCTAATTTTTGGTTCAACTTGTTATATTTCTAAAATAGATTGAAGTTGCTAAGAATTCCGGATCATTTTAGAGTTTGAGAATTTCAATTGAGGTATATTGGTTAAACCCCATTTTTCTTAGAATCGAATCTCACGGTGTTCATGAAATTGGAGTAAGCCCTTGATCATTATAGAATTGGCAATTCCTAATGTGTTTGTGTTAAAGGATATAAGTTCAATATTTATTCTAAATGCTTCATCATGTCATCTTTCCATTTGAGAATATGTTCAAAATGTGGAATATGTGTTAGGAATGTTAAAACTTCATGTCAAGATCGAAATAAAGGTTGTTATGCCAAATTGTATGAAAGGCCTCTATGTGCCTAAGATTTTCCAAATTGCTCATATATGAATTAATGTCTTGAATGGGAAGCACTATTGATGTTGATAGTGATAATGATATTTGAATGTGAAAAAGAAAACTGAAACTATGAAATACAGCCAAGTGCCAAGAATGACTGTGTAATTATTAAGAAGTATGATGTGAGATGATTGACTGAAGAAGGTAATGTCTCAAATGAGATGGCCTAACCGATCGGGCCTAAAAAGGTCATATCTATAATCTAAACTAATTTTGAAACGAAAATATATTAAGATGCTTCCTTCTAAAATGTGAAAAGGGCTAGCAATGACTCTTCAAATATGTTCATCTTCGCCAATCTCATTTTCAATATCGCGATCACTTAATATTTTATCAGTTTCATCCTCCCTACACAAAAGGAGATCATTAACATCCCCAAAGTGTTGATCTAATCTTGTACTGGGAATGACTCATTCTCATGAAATTCATTATCTCCTTCTCCTCCCATATCATATAAGTCTCTTGGTTTCAAGTGAACAATAATACTCCAACATTTATTCACCTCATCGTCCACATAATATACATTTGAGCTTGTGAAGCTTCAATGTATGGACCATCCTCTTCATGATCGCTAGTATGAATCAATCGTGAAAAATTAACAGAAGAAAATCCACATGCATCTATTCTAAACCCCCTATCCCTAGTTGTGTCATCCCATTTACACTTGAATAGTGTAACCCAAAATCGACCATAGTAGTTAAGTTCAATGATGTCTTCTAATTTGCCATAATATGGCAAATCCGCTTGCCTTAGGTTTCTATCAGCGCCACTAGCAATACAAGATGTGGATGAAGTACAAAATACTCCACTGTTTTGAGTTTTCAATCCATCCTCTCGCTCTGAAGTCCGAAATTTGAACCCGTTGATATTAAATGATGTAAACCTTCTAGCATGTGGTGTTAGACCATCTGCTAAAAACTTTAGGTAATCTGATACAGTATTCGAAATGTCTGGGTTCACAATCTGAAATAAGAATTAAAAAAATATGTTAGGCATAGTTTTAAATTTGTAAAATTCTAATACATTTGTAACAAACCTTTTGGGGAAACCAATCAATGAAGTCTTTATTAACTATCTTCTCAATTTCCGTACTAGTAGGCTTTCGACCATTCCAACGCATTCGTACATGATCTTTAAATTAACTACATGAAATGGTGATACAAATATTAATCATTTATGTAAGTTCTACATATTTAATATAAGGTTTATTTAGATTTGCATTAAATACTCACTCAATGAACGACATGACTTGTGGACAATTTAGTACCACATATCGATGTGCTTGACGTTTCACTATAGGTGACAAATCAAATATTTTTGTTGCTACTCCTTTACCAACAGGTGAAAAAATGCTAGATGAGTTCGTCGAGCCTCTATCCTCCGGATAATCATCAACACGACAAGGCCTATTAATTCTTGTCTCAATCCCTTCAAAATACTGAGAACAGAAAGTGAGAGCCTCTTCAACTAGGTATCCTTCAGCCATGGAACCTTCTAGTTGTGACATGTTTCGCACATAGGACTTAAAATGTCCCAAATACCTAAACAAAAAATCAATGGTTAGTTAACGATTACAATTTAACATCTTTGTCTTAAAAAATAAACTCCAATTAAGCAATAAAAAATCTTTTACCTCTCCATAGGATACATCCATCGACACTGTTGCGATCCCCCAAGGTTTGCTTCACCATCTAGATGACAAGTTAAATGAATCATGATGGTAAAGAACGCTGGAGGGCATAACATTTCCAAGTAATTCATTGTGAGAAAATATCGATATTGAAGCCTATCAAGGTCTATTGGGCTTTTGGGACAGAGTTTTCGGAAGAACAAACTCAACTATATTAACACTACAGTCACTTTGTCAGGTAAAATATTTCGTATGGCAATTGGTAACTAGTGCTGCATGAGAATGTGAAAAGCATGACTCTTCATATTAAAGAGCTTCTGTTGTTTCAAGTCGATACATCTTTAAATGTTGCTCGCATATCCATCAGGCATTTTGACATTCTTTAAGCTCCGCAAAAATATATCTTTCTTGAATACACCTTTCTTTGTATTTAAAATAGTAAACAAAGATGGACGATAGCTTTCATTCTCATCTGCCCAAAGTTCCTTCCTTATACCCATTTCTCTAAGATCCTTCCTAGCTTTAATATTGTCTTTTTATTTTTCAGAATCATTGAGTAAAGTGTATATCACATTCTCACACATATTCTTCTCAATGCGCATAAGGTTTAGATTATAACGTAACAAGTTCATTTTCCAGTAAGGAAGATAAAAAAATATGCCCATCTTTCTGCGTTGTCTCAATCTATCTTCATTAACAGTGTGTCTTCGAGTTCTTTTACCTTTATCATGCAAAACTGGTACTTTCCCAAAATTAGCATTAATGCTCTCCACTTGTTTCAAGATGTCTGACCCTGATAATGCAATTGGTGGCTCCCGTTGCTTGATTTTCCCATTAAAATGAACATGTTGCAATCTAAACCGACGGTCGCTTCCAAAAAAATGACGATGACCCATAAAATATCACTTTCTACTATGCTTCAATCTGCAAGAGTCTGTATCAAAGTTACATGTGGGGCAAGCAAACTGAATGTATGTATTCCATCCAAATAATGTACGAAGCCGAGAAAAATCACTAATTGTCCACATAAATGCTCCTCGCATTTTAAATATTTCATTCTTTGAAGAATCTAATGTCTGCACTCCATCGTACCACAATTCCCTCAACTCTTGGATGAGAGGTTGTAAATACACGTCTATGTCATTGTCCGACATTTGTTTTCCTAGAATGATCATTGAGAGTATGAATGAAGTTTGTTTCATGCACTTCCAAGGAGGACGGTTGTATGGAATAAGTACCACTAGCCAGATACTATGTTAGTTGCCATTGCTCCAAAAGGATTGAAACCGTCACTAGCTCTAGATAGGCCTAGCCGTACATTTCGAGGATCTGCAGCAAATTCAGGATGAAGCAAGTCAAAAGTTTTCCAAGCCTGAGAATCCCTGGGATGCCTCATCAATCCATCGTGGCTACCCTCTAAAGAATGTCAACTCATAGACTCGGCAGTTTTAGAGCACATGAACAATCTTTGCAACTTTGGCTTTAGTGGAAAGTAGCGCATTATCTTTGCAGGCTACTTCTTCTTATTATCCTTCCACCTAGATGTCTTGAATCTTTTGCATTCTTGCAAGCCTTCATCTTCGCCAAAATATAACATACAATCATTTGGGCAGGCATGTATCTTGGTATAATTAAGACCAAGTTTGTTGATGGTTTTCTTGACCTCATAAAAAGAATCAGGAATCTTGACATCTTCAAAGGCATCTTTTAACAATTCTAATATTATGTTCATCGCTTTGTCAGTCATTCGACAAAGCCATTTTATATGATACAATTTGATTAGAAAGGACAATTTGGAATACTTCGTACATCCTTCGTATAATGGTTGATTTCCATCTTCGACCAATTCATAGAACTTTATATAATCTTCATTATGCCCCTCAATGTGCCCTTCATCAAATATTTCTTCTCTATTTATATGATTAGAAGACACACCAAGCTCGTTGACATTGTTTCTGGTGAACCCAAACGCATCATTAATTATAATTTCCATTGGATCTTGGGGCTGTAAATTATCTTCTATGACATGGGTGCTCTGAGAAATTTGTTGCACGGTTGCATTTGATTCTTCACCATGCCAATACCAAAATTTATAGTTTTTTGGGAAAGGTTTAAGAATCAGGTGCTCTTCAACTATATCTCTTCTTTGCCACTTGTTAAAACCACATTTTGGAAAGAAAAATTGTCTTAGACCATCTGCATATTCAGGTGTGTTTCGTGATTTGCTAATCCAAGATTTATCAATTGGCATGGCTAGAAAGGAAGACATAAGATAACATCACAATATCAAAACTGAAAAGAAAGTTCAAAAGCTTATATGTGAAAAACATAACCTGTGAAATAACATCATTTCATAAGATAACAAAAAATAGTTTTGGTCTGTGAATAAAAGTAAAAAATAATGCCCTAAGAGTAAAAAATAAGCTCCTATTTTCAGACTTGGTGTGTGAATAAAGATAATGCCCTAAGAGCAAGATGCAACCAGTATAACTAGTTAAAGAAATTACCTAATGAGAAGCCTCTTATGTTATAAAAGTGCAGATAGAAAATATTTACTTCTTCCATTAGAATTAGGGCATAACTATCAGAAGCTTTACATGTAGCAACCTACAATAATTAGTGAATATATCCACTTAATTTGAACTAAGTTTTTCTCTCAAAACGTTTGCTCATACGCAGTGTCAAACTGTTAACTTACTACTTCAGATTCTTACAGGTGGATGACATATCTTTCTACCTATACAATTGGTAACCGTTTGATAAATTAGTTGAACCTATTATAGCATAAAGATCTGCTAATCCGCTAGTGGAAAAAGAAATTATCAATCTACCTTTCCATAAAAATAAATCTGCTCAAAAGAAAGGACAAAATTAAACTGAAAAAGGTTATACCTATCAAATGTTTTATTGTCGACCTCGATCCCAATAGATTCACCAGCAGTTTTTTATCTCCCGGCTACCTATCAAGCCCATATATAATATTTAGGTTAATATTAGCAAGAACAACAACTTAAAATATAAAAATAAGTGCATGCAATCGAAATACCAAACAAAGCAGCAAAACTTTAAAGAAATACCAAACTAAATGAACAGAAAAATAACAAAAAAGGGACTCAAAAATAAAAGAAAGAAGTACTGAAACCATTAGAACATTAATGTTTTCTAATAATATCAATCGTCATTCTGTTTTCCTTTTTTCTAGTCATTGATTACTATTTTGGATGTTATATATTTAATTGACTGAATGAATCATAGATTATCGGACCGAGAAAAAAAATTAGAACAGAATTGGGGAAAATCGCTACATGCATGAACCCTAATAAAAAGAAAAGAACTTTTGGTACTAAATATGCCTCATTACCTGAAGATTATTGAAGCTGCTAAATGAATTTCTGATTTGAATCTCGATTCTTCTAGCCACAGAAACAGATTGGGAGAAATAGAAGAATCTAAAGTTAGAAAATTGGGAGTTCGTTGCCTATTAAGGGAAATAGAATGAATCGGGGGAAGGAATTGGGGGAAATAGAAATTGGGGGAAAGAGATACGAGACCTATGGAGGGAGGGAATTGGGGGAATTCTGGAGGGATTCTCAAATTGTGAGGGGAAAATATTAAAACTTATTGAGGGAATAGTTAAAATGTTATGACTAAAACATTACGGCGGTTCTAACCGCCGCAATACGAAATAACCGCCGCTATAAAAAAATTTAATCTTGCGGCTGATAAAACGCCATTTTTAATTAGATTTTGTGGGGGTTATTTGAAATTGCCGTAATATAACCGTCACAATAATTCCGATTTTTTGTAGTGACATAGCTTAGAACAAAGTAAGAAAATGCATAATAACTTGTGGGGCATTATATTCTTTCTCTTTAAGGACATTCACCCCCAGTGTATTTCTAGTCATAACGGAGATCTGAAATAGATGTGGGCACCTTGAAAGCACGTCTTTCAAAGCTTCCTAAGTCACCTCTTTGGCCGAGTTACTCCTCCTAACTCCAACAAGGGCAAGCATTTGTCCTAGTTTTCGTCAAAATTAATAGTGCATGTTCTCAACTTTTCCTCGGGAACCTAAATGGTCTACAAAGACTGGACATCTATGTAATGAAGGAAAGATGTGCTCAAATTAACTTTGGTACCAATTAGGCCTTCGTGACACCCTTTCCAAAACTGCGCAATGAACTGTGTACTCCTGCGTGAGATGATCGATACTGATATCTCTACTTAGCATGACTATTTTTCTTAGATAGATTTATGCCACTAGGCTGCCGAGTAAGCTGTCTTGATCGGTAAAAGATGTGCCGATCTGGTGAGTTGGTCCGTGATCACACATATAGAACCATGCTTCCTATGCGAGGTAAATTATTCATAAAATCAATGTTGATCCTCCCGCATTTCCATTCCTGTATATCAAGTGCACTAAGCCAATCTGCCAGACCTTTGGTGCTCGACTTTAAATTGTTGATAATTGAGACACTTGAACATAGAGCCTGCGATGTCTCTCTTCATGTTCTTCTACCAACATGCTCTTTCAAGTCTTGATACATCTAGCTCCATTGATACCCAACACACAGACGATAAATTCACCCTTAACACCCAATTACCACCAATAGAGAAAGAGATTATTTCACCGTTATGGACACCCTCCTTTAGCTTGAGCAAGTAAGTATTCTCATATTTTTTAGCTTTTAACACGCTCCACTAAAGACGACTATGTGCCAGCATACAAGCCATCAACTCCCAATTCCTCGTATGATAAAAACAAATCTTCCGGTTTGCCAATTTGTTACTAACTTTGGCTAATGGACTCTACACAACCGTTAGGTGAGCTAAACTTTCTATGGTTCCTACTTAGGATGGCAGCCCGGTACACTAAGCTCCCACTATGCGCGGGGTCTGCGGAAGGACCGGACCACAAGAGTCTATTGTACGCAGCCTTACCCTTCATTTCTGCAAGAGGCTGTTTCCACGGCTTGATCTCGTGACCTCCTGGTCACATGGCAGCAACTTTACCAATTACGCCAAGACTCCCCTTCAGTGATTCCTACTTATGATGTCGGCGACTATATTCGCGTCGGTTGAATGATAGAGGATAGTGCAATCGCAATCTTTCAATAACTCAAGCCGCCTTCGTTGGCTCAAAGTCAGTTCGTTTTGCTATGGTTTGCTTACCCTGTAGCCTCAATAACTTTAATCACCAAATATCATCTTTTTTTGAGATGGTATCAACCCCAAATCGCTTCCAATTCATACCCAAGTACATATCATCATTCCCAACCAAAATGAAGCCTCATATTTAACTCTGAACATGCATTATCAACAAGACAGTAAATTTAATCAAAGCTTAATACGAATAAAAAATACTTAGAAACTTGCGGAGCATTACAAAATTGTATGTAGAATTTTTTATTAATTATTGTAGAGGTATTACTAATATTAAAACCAAAATAAAACCAATATATTAGAAGTACGAGACAATATTGGGATAGACGCATTGTGAATGCTGAAAAATCTAAAAGTAAAAACTTAGATAGTGTAGGTAAATGATGAGAGATATACTAAGACTAATATAACTAACGTATTAGTTATTATTATAATCTACTTCGATTGCAAGTTACTGAATTAGTTGGAAAGATATTTGTTAGAAGATAAATGTGACAACTTCAATTAATTAGTGTGTTTCGATAAGAATTACTATATATTTCTATATTAAAAATATTTTATTTTAAAATTTTTGTTGCAACCTTATGCCTTGATTTTATAGCCACAAAAATGCCAATATCATATTTTAGAGCAGTTATCTCAAAACTCTTTCTTTTTCAATATAATTAAATTTGTATCTAGTCAAACACTTTCACATCAAAATAGGATGACGAGTGTAAGAACTTCTGTTATGAGTCCCTTTGGTAAGCATTTGACCACATTATGTGTTAAAACACATTGTAAGATGATAACATACATTTCTTTTATTATAAAACATGCTAAATGTTAACCAACACTACTAGAAAACTGCCTAATTTCGTCCGAGACAACCGATCGACATCGGTCGAAATTTGAGGAAAAGCGATCGATTTCCGATCGCTTTTAATTAGTCGGAACAATAATGGTCGCTAAGGTGTTGCGACCGAAATCGGTAGAAATTTTCCGACCGAAAACGATCGATTATTTCAACGCGTTGACTGACAACATAGATAAATATACCGACCGAAATCGGTCGGTATTAATTAAATTTTTTTTATTTTTCAAATAGCGACCGACATCGATCGGAATTTTAAATATATTATAATTTTATATTTATTTATAAATTGTAATAAACTGACCAAAATAGGTCGGTATTCTAAATAAATAAATAAATTTAATAAGACATTTCGCACCGACTTCAGTCGGAAATTTCAAGATTCTGCAGAATTCATTTGAAATTTTCGACCCAACTCGGTCGGAAATATTGTATTTCTGAAAAAAAAATGAGATTTCCGATTGACTTCGGTCGGTTTTCTGGGTAAAAACCGGGCAGAATATGCCTGCTTTTAAGCTATACCACCTGCCAATTACAACCAATATCCATCCTATAATGGCAACATTACATTGCTGCCATTCAACCATAATTAACAAACAACAACAACAATTAACCAACCACAACAACAACAATTAACCAACAATAATCACAACAACAATAACAATTAACCAACAACAACGCTAATAACAACCACAACGCTAATAATAACAACGCCAACCACAACAACAACTATACAAATGTTCAATAATAAAATAATATCAACCATACAATCATCATTCAAAACTATTCCCAACTAAATATTCACAAGTTCAAGACTTTGTTTAGCAATACACATCATTCAATGAGTGTTTTGTATTGCATCATCTCCATTTTCACTACTAGAAGCTTCATCGTCGGCATGGTTCGAAGGATCACGACGAGAAAGATTAGCATCTGGGGAAGGCTCACGAGACCGGAGAATGGGAAAAGCACCACTAGCAAGAAGATTGGCCAACAGACCTTTAAGGAGATTAAATTGTTGGTCCCTCTTTTCAAGCTGAACTTGAAGGGTATCAAATTGTTCATCTCTCTTTTGCTATCTAGCCTTTGTCTCTTCAAGCTCTGTTGTCAGCTTTACGATCTTCTTCTCTATACACGAGAGAGTCGACCTATCAATTACCTCGCCTTGGGCGGAAGTCCCTATACCTTGCAATCCAGCGTTGTAGCGCCGAAATGATAACTCTGAAAGGCCGTATGATATCCCCTTTTTAGGACCACCGACAACATCCAACCATATCCTCTGCGCTTCTTCGTCTGAAAGGGGTGGTCGCTCGCCTTGCTCATTCGGTGGCAAACTCTGAGTGTACTCCTCCACATTAATCTTGTAGCGACCCTTTATTTAGAAGATAGAAAATTATTAATTATATAATATTATAAACATTAATTTTAAGTTATAGTCCTTAAATATTATGTACATATATGTATATATACATACACAGATAGGATATAGTGTTCATATAAAAGTAATTTTAAAAAATACACAAACACACATATATCAACTATGTATTAAATTTTATTTATTTAAAAGCTATATAAATTGACTAAAACCGACCGAATGCGGTCGGTTTCTTCATTAAATTAATATTTTAAGATATTTAAAATTAAAACCGATCGAATTTAGTCAGAAACATTTAATTAAATATTATTTCAGTTTTTAAATTAAATATATACATAATTTTTTTATATTAAAAAACCAATTTCCTTGGGCGGAAAAAATAATTTCAAATATACCGACAGATTTCGGTCGGTATATTTGAAAAATTTTAATTAAATTTTTTTTATTAGATAATATGAAGTATGACCAGGTCTTGGTCAAATATTGACTAATTTCCGACCGATATCGGTCGAAATTTGTATATATTGTTGTGGGACCACTGTTTCCGTTGTGAGAAATATTATTTTTGACTTTTGCGACCAATTTACTTATTTTCTGACCGATTTCGGTCGGTGTATTTTCCGACCGATTTCGGTCGGAATTTTGTGGACGGATTTTGCCATTTTTCTAGTAGTGCAACTTGACCATGGATCAAGTGATCACCAACGTATATTAAAAATATGATCTCCATGCATGAGACATGATCAAAGGAATATGGCATTCCCTTTTCCCTCTTTTGGATGGAGGAGTGGGTATTTTCTTTTGGTCACCTATAGTTTGAGATGTATAAAGAAAGAAAAGGAGAGCAATTGAGTAGAAAGCAAGCAAAATAAAAGTCGAACTTTGGGGGTCTTTTTGGGATGTCAAGGCAAGCATCTATGCCTTATTAGTTTTGGCAATTATATTGGCGTATAAACATACCCTGACACGCACAATTACAAGCCTACTTATAAACTACAAATATTTGAAGAAAGATCACATTGGAATTATGATCGCTTTACACTTTTTTCCTATCGTGTTTGCATTTCTTCAATCACACATCTATCCAAGGCAATCAAAGAATCTAATCTTCCAGATATGAGGTATTATATATTAGTCAGTACCACTTTAAAACTTCTTGCTTCTAGCTCTTGCTGCTGTTGCTACTAAATAACTAATAAGTGACACCAGTTCAATATTAGCTCAAGAGTCATTACCAGCCATAGCTCTCTTAAAATCTTTGAAATATTTATTTTCCGGGAGAGACAGATAAGACATCCCGACATCCCTACGTTTTGATATCACCAATAATAGAGGAGGGGATCATGAAAACTCCATCTCATCATCACTCAATGCTATACGTTTTAAGCCTTCTTCTGTGTTTTGCAGCTTTCTTCATCGTAAATAATGGTATGCACATTCCACTCATTACCTACAAAATCCTTTATGATATTGTAATGGCCTAAGGTATATGCTTTCTTCAAAAACAGGTTATCTTGTCACCTTACTTCACTGACTTTCGCCTTCAAAATAAAGAAGGTTATTTCCTGGTAAAAGTTTAACAACGCGCATTTGAAAAGAAGCATTTATTTTACTTTCGGATAAACATTCTCCATATCTATTCAGGGCCAGCTGGAGCCTAAGGCTACTAAGGCAATGGCGGCTCCCAAAAAACTTAGGTCCCCAAAATCTATAAATAATAAATAGAATATTTAATAATTATGCACTATTGATAGAATTTTTAAATTATTTGGTTAAAGTAGTTAGAGCTTAAAGTTTTACAAACTTAGATTGTAGTTACTAGTTGTTTTCTAACTTTAACTCGTCCCAACTTAAATTGATCTTCTTACTATGTTAGTTTAGAAAAAGTTTTCTTAATTCTTTGAGTGTCTTTGTAGACATTTTTCAAGCTACTTTGATAAGTAACTACTAAAATTAGTCCTTAACTTTGAATGACTCTTGAAATATAGTAGTTACTACAATATTATTTGTTTTAACTTATATTTAGAATTAAAAGTGTTAAGAGAAATTGTACAAGTAGAAGAATACTCTAATTGGCAAACTCAATCAGGTAAAAGGTGTTAATTCAATTATCGTTAACAATTTCTATATCAGTTGCCTAGGTTGAAAAATATTTTTAAAACTAAATCAATAAAGTTCAACAGGATAACACAAGAGAGATTAAACAAATTGATTAGACATTGGCAATAATTAAAATTGATTATAACATCTTTAGATTTTGATAAATTATAAGAGAAAAAAATAATTAAAAAAAATTAAGGCCACACTTTTTATTTTCTCCTTAGGTCCCATATTATGCCGAGCCGCCCTATATCTATTAATTGTGTTGACATTTTTACGTACTTACTGCATTTTTTTTATTTTATTTTTTTGCTAAATAGTTACTGCATTATTTGTATTTGTGTGAATGCAGATGCTAGAAAATTAAGTGGAAGGGATAACGGCCCGCTACTAGTGTCAAAAAGTTCAGAAGACATTATTGAATCATCAGAAATCAATGGCTTCGACGTGTATTTATCTTCAGAGGATTCGTCCAATTCAGGACCTTATGGTGTCAGTTCTCCCTTCAATTTGCCACCTTATGATTCTCTTCCTCCAGTTCCAGATACCCCTCCTTTCTGTCTTAATCCACCTTCACCTTTCACTCTTCAACCTCCACCAAGTGGAGGAGGCCCAATTGTAAATCTACCTCCAAGCCCATCATCCACTATCATCCCTAGCCCACCCCAACAATATCTTCCTCCTATAATAATTCCCAACCCACCCCAATATTTTGAACCTAGTCCTCCCACAACAACTGTTCCAACCCCAACAGTACCCATTCTGAGCCCACCTTATTATTACGAGCCCAGCCCACCAAGTTATTATGTTCCAATTAGCCCACCCACTGGGGTTTTTCTTCCACCAGTGATTTACCCACCTCCGGTGGTGCCTCCACCGCCACACATAGCGCCGGCCATGGCTCTATGGTGTGTGGCAAAGCCGTCAGTTCCAGACCCAATCATTCAAGAAGCCATGAATTATGCATGTGCATCTGGAGCAGATTGTGACCAGATTAATCCCAGTGGATCATGCTTTCAGCCCAATACTTTATTTGCGCACGCCTCTTATGCCTTCAATAGTTACTGGCAGAGAACTAAGGTGGCTGGTGGCACTTGTGAATTTGGAGGCACGGCCATGCTTGTCACAGTCGATCCTAGTGAGTTCCTACGAAATTATTGCAACATTAAAACAATTGAATTTTACTCACTATAAAAGCAAAGTCAAAATAAAACTATTCTTTTGTCAGACAACCATTTTGCCAGACTCCTAATGGTTTTCATTTTCTTCCTTCAACAGGTTATGATGGATGCCAATTCGTCTATAACTGAATGGATGATTTGATTTTTTGTTGTTTCATACTACGAGGAATAGTTCAAGAAAAGGTTAAAACACCCATCCGAAATTTTGTAATTTTCAGGTGGATGCATGCATGCCAGAGTGTGGATTACGTACTCCAATTCTCTTCCGTCTAGGATTAGAAACAACACGTCTTTCCTTGACGAATACTCTTCTTATAGTAATTTGAAATTGAAAATGGAAATGTAATTGCAAATATCATTAATGGGATTTAACATTATCTTCATTTTTGTAATAGAACTACTAATACACTAAATATATAGCATCTTCTTTTTAACTTACGCACTTGCGTCCTATCAAAAGTTAACATATTATTTCCACACCAAAGAAAGAAATGTAACATCGATGTTGTAGTCGTGCATTGCGAATCTTATTTTGTTTCTCTAGCACGTGCTTGGATATCTTTTATTTCTTCCTGTTTCTTTATAGCACGCACGTCCGCGATGAATTCAGTGCTATAGCTTATAACTTTATGCATGTCCTCCCCTTTCTTTCTTCTCTGTTTTGTTTCGTCCTTAGTCTTGAACTAAGCGCACGTGCGTCATGAATGTACAAGACGGATGAAGTATCAATTTTTCTTTTTATACCCTAAATAGTTGACTAGTTTACTAATTAGTCGAGTACATGTAAGAACGGAATATAAATAAAGCAGAAATAAAATGCAGGAATTAAAGATATCAGAATTTTTATACTCGTTCGAATTCAATGTGAATCCTACGTCCAATCCCCTTGGGTTGCAAGGGTGTTCTCTTTCAGTATTTGAAGTTTCTCGATACAAGAGAGTTGATGTAGTTTTACACCAACAGCTTAATCACTATGTCACTTCTCGCTTTTTGATACAATGCCTCACTAGTGTTTTTCTCTCTTTCTTCTCCCACTAATTACACAGTAGATCTAGGGTGAACTACGATGCTTGTTTGGAGTAGAATAAAAGGAGTGATAGTGGTTTGCTCAAAGTATGTGCTGCTCTCTTGACACACTTTGTTTTATACTTGAGCTTTTTGGCTTTGGCGAATCTTTGGCAGACAGTTGAACAGATTTGCAGTCCCAAGGGAATTGATTCTCAGAATTGAATCTGTTGCGATTCATTCCAAGAATAAATACAGGGCTTCCATAGACTATCCATGACTGCCGGTCATTTCCTTATTCGAGAGGAGATTTTTTATAAATTCTCCTTAAGTTGTTCCTTGATTCATGGGATTGATAGCCTTCCTTTATTGACGCATATCCTCAGCAATCAGGGCAGCAAGAAATCTTAATCCTTCCTTTATTGACGAATATCTTCAGCAATCAGGGCAATGGAAAATCTTAGTCCTTCAATCATTATAGCTTCAATCATTATTATTCCTTACTTGCTTCCATTGACAGATCTTTGCCTCGATTATTTTACTTCTACCTTTCTTGACTTCTTCCATACTTGAATGATAGATTTTCTTGAATCCTTCATTTTATCTCTCGTGATCCTGCACCATAGTAATATATTATTTTTCATCATTGAAACTTATATCTAACAATCTCCCCCTTTTGATGATGACAAAATAACATATAAAAGCTGTTTACTTCCCTGTTATAGTCGATGCTTTTTTTGCTGTAGTTGACTTCTTAGTTGGCTTCCATGGTGTGGAAGTCGGCTCCCCCTCAAAAGGTGCAGATGTTTGTCCTGTACTTGTAAACTTATATACTGCAGTCGACTCTCCCTCAAAATGTTCTGCTATTTATCCTGCACTATAATTTAACCTTTCTCCCCCTCTTTGGAATCAGCAAAGAGGGGATATACACGTAAAAAACAATATAACATTGCAGATAGAGGCAAGCGATTTAGGCAAATATAGGCAGTTATAGGCATGCAGAGTTAGCAAAAAAAGAAAAAACACCCAACGACAGGTGAACTAGTCCAAAACAACAAAACAATATTGTCTAAAACATCCACAACTAACGACGCAAGAAATAAGTGAGAGTGTTGCAAATCTCCCCCTTCAGACGATCAAAGCTGGCATTTGTTGAAACTGACACCCTATCAATCCTGTCATCTATTTCCTTGAAGGCTTTGTCTGCATTTTCTGCTAACTTGAGAATTTTGACCCTTATCTTTGAAACATAGGACCATGTCTCTTTGGAGATGGCATGAATGTCTCCAATAGTTGATTGAGTTGCAACAAGAAGGTCCTTGATGATGGTCATCTTATTGTCAATGGCAGTCAACTTTTCTACAAGATCAGGATCACTTACACCATGATGGGAACTAGAGACTTTGACCTTTGAATGAGGATGAACATTCTTGATTTCTCCCTCCTGTTGTTTTTATTCAGGAACCCGTAACACACTCATACCCCATGCTGGCAAAGGCTCTTGAGTTGTAGGATTTGATGACAGAGATAAAAGGGTATTCTGAGATAGAAATGTTGTGGGCTTCCAATAGATGAGTGATAACCATATCATATGATAGACTGGTGGGGTCATCAGCACTTTCAACCATAAAATTTATAACCCATAAGGACAGCTTGATTTTAAGTTTGGTTGCTAGACAATAGACAAGAAAAGTATCTCGTTGAGAGAAAGTGGAGAATGAGCCAGTGCGAGGAAGAAGAGTAGTTGCTACAATGTGGGCCAGAACTCGGGTTTCAAAACTAACATCACTGGGACCTAACTGGTTAGGGAGGGAATTAGAGGGACACTCGACTATACAACGCTTGTCTTGATCAAAAATGATTTAAAAGTATTCAAGCCAGGTATTTTTGAAAATATTGGGAAACTAGAGCACTTACACTGAAAAACTGAGTCAAATCACAATTAAGAAAGATGCATTTTCCTAGAACAAGGGATTCTAACGTATCAGGCTTGTTAGAATGGAGATTGGCATAGAACATCCTCACAAGAGGTTCATAGACTTTAGGAGGGGGTAAAGAGAGGAAATTTGACCATCCTTAAAAATCGAACAGATCCTTTACCTTACATTTGAGGGCCTCCATGTCGTCAAGATCGATTACTCTGCCATGGGCAATAGGCTTCTCTTTTAGGGCAATGAAGAAATCTTTATTAGGATTATCCCAGAAATTGAGGTCTGAATCTAGAGAACTCAAGAGGTCTACCTTGGAGTTAGTCATACAGGAATTAGAAATAACACACAAGTCCTAATTTTTATGATCGAGCGAAATAATGCCAAGTACTTATCTCAAAGTGCAGAATCTATCCTCAAGCAAAGGCTAAAAATGTCTGCTAGTAAATCAATAGTGCTAACAAAAGATAATTCTATATCTCCCTTAATGACATGATCTCTGATGAAATGATGATTAATATCTATATGCTTAGCCCTAGAATGATGCACATGATTCTTTAAGAGGCATATATCACTATAATTATCACAAAATATTTGAATAAGTTTAAAAGATAATTCATAGTCACTCAGTTGATGAGACATCCAAAGTAATTGTGCACAACACTGTCCAATGGCATTATACTCTGCCTCAGTTGTGGATAATGCAACTAAGCCTTGTTTCTTACTGTTCCAGAATATTAATGCCTTTCCCAGCAATTGACATATTCCACTGGTGCTTTTCCTGTCTTCCTTATCACCTGCAAGATCAGCATCTGAAAAACTTTCAAGTTTAAAATTGTTAGATCGTGGGTACCATAGTCTATACGAAACAGTTCCGATGAGATAATGTGTTATTCTCTTTATTGCTGTCAGATGCGATTCCTTAGGAGCTGACTGAAACATGGCACATTTACACACACTGAACATAATATCTAGTCCACTAGCAGTTAGATAAAGTAAGGAGCCAATCATTCCATGATATTTCGTTTCATCCATTGGATTTCCCTTTTCGTCTTTGTCAAGACTTGTTTTATAGGCTCATTGGTGTAACAATTGCTTTAGCACTGCTCATGCCGAACTTTTGAATTAATTTCTTTGTTTATTTGGTCTGATAGATAAAAGTTCCTTCCTCAGATTGTTGAATTTTAAGTCCGAGTAAAAATATGAGTTCTCCCATCATACTTATTTCGAACTCACTTTGCATGAGATTAGCAAATTCCTTGAACAAAAGAGAGTTAGCACTTCCAAAAATAATATCATCAACATAGACTTGAATAATGAGGTTACCTCCTAATGATCTTTTGATAAATAATGTGGTATCTACTTTACCTTTTGTAAATCCATGATCAAATAGGAATGAGCTAAGCCTTTTGTACCAGGCTCGAGGAGCTTATTTGAGTCCATACAAAGCTTTAGTCAACTTATACACATGGTAAGGAAATTGTGAGTCTTCAAAATCAGGAGGTTGTTTTACATACATCTCCTCATCAATAAAGCCATTTAAGAAAGTACTTTTGATATCCATCTAAAAAGGTCTAAAGTCTTTAAAGGATGCATATGCAAGAAGAATTCGTATTGACTCTAACCGTGCTACCAGAGCAAAGGTCTCATCATAGTCGACTTCTTCCTATTGTGAATATACTTGAGCTACTAATCTGGCTTTGTTTTGGATTACTTTTCCATCTCTGTTCAACTTGTTTCTAAAAACCCGTTTGGTTCCAACAATGGCAGCATTTGCTGGCTTAGGTAACAGTTCCCAGACTTGATTCTTATAAAATTGAGTGAGTTCATCCTGCATGGCTTGTACCCTGCTGGAGTCTTTTAAGGCTTTCTCAACTTTCTTTGGTTCGATTTGAGATATAAGTGCTACATTTGCCTTTTTCTTAAGAGCTCCTCTGGTTTTCATTCCTTCATTAGGATCCCCTATGATAAACTTTTAAGGATATTCTGGTTCGCTTCTCCACTCATTTGGACGCGTTCCAACTGCAGGAGTAGTTGACTCCTTTTGTGGTTCAGGTTGATTACTAGCAGGTTCACTAACCGACTCTCTGACTGCATTTGTGCTATCAGTCGACTTTTATGACTTGCTTGCTTGTGATGCTACTTGGCTGCTATCTTCATCACCTGAAAAGATTCCTTTCTCGATCGTAGTATTATTTTCATCAAATATAACATGCACTGATTCTTCTACAGATAAAGTACGTTTGTTATAAACTCTAATCTACTATTAACAGAGTAACCAAGAAAAATACCTTCATTACTCCTTGGATCAAATTTTCTAAGGTTGTCCTTACCATTATTGTGGATGAAGCACTTACTGCCAAACGAATGAAAGTAGCCTATATTGGGCCGTTTGCCTTTCCATAACTCATATGGTGTTTTCTTCAATATGGGTCTTATGAGACATCTAATGAGAATGTGACAAGTTGTGCTTACTACT